CTCTCTCTCTCTCTCTCTCTCTCTCTCTCTCTTGTGTTAGCTCTTAGTCTCATTGATTTGGCTACCTTAGGGCTGTGTTCCCCGCGCCCACGCGGTAGACAATCCCCTAAGAACCCACTTTGCGTCCTGGTCGCCCGCCGCCAAAAATGCGACACCTTGGCACAGACGCGGAAGCACACTATACCGCAGCCTTAGGGCTGCGAACTGCTGTCCCAGAGCCCTTTAGGGCTGCGAAATAACGCGCTGGAGAAATGCTCCTCATGCAACACAGCTTTATGGGGCCGAGTTTAGGGTCTTACTGACGCGGGCTGGCTCATGTGGACCGCTACGGGCTACCCCAGGCATTTTTAACCAGTGCGGGGCTAATTTGGTATATCGCTAGCCCGAGTCCAGTTCTGCCGTAGGGGTTCGAACTGTCCGCCATTCCAAGCACGCGGGCAACGCGGGTGCGCGGGCAGTTGCTGTGGCCTCCTGGTCCGACGGCGGAAAGCTGTTTCCATCACCCTTCCTTCCTTGGCCCAGGTGCGGATCATCAAGCCTGACCCAGTTAGGTTGATTGGCATGTCAGTAGTAAGGGCTATTTTTCGGCCAGCCATGTGCGTCGACGGCCGAGGAGCTGAAGCGGTCGTCACCCTAGAAGTTGCAGCGGTCGTTCGCCCTAGAAGTTTCAGCGGTCGTCGCTCTAGAAGTTTCAGCGGTCGTTTTGCTGAGAGTCCGTCGACGCCACGTGGCGTGCAACCGCGTGTTACTGTGAATAGCATCCCGGCGTGTGTTTTTTGACATCTTCCCGCTTGTGGAGCTCAATCTTGTAAGTGTGCGAGAGCTGCTTTCGTCAGAGCGCGTCAATTTTGGGCCCGATCTGACACGTGGCACGTAGTTTGATTAGACCGGATCGGGTCGGATTAATTAAGGAAATGGGAACGAAGAAGAGGAAGACGCCCGCGTCGACGGTGGAGGCCGAGCCGGCGATAGCGGCGGCGGCGGCGCCCGATGCCGGGCCGACGAAGCAGAAACAGAAGAAGAAGAAACAAGACGCGTCAAAACGGCAGGAAGATGTGCCGGCTAAGCAGCAGGTGAAGCCGACGCTAAGAGCAGTGGAGGGTGAAAGGCGTGCCGATCCCGCGGGCTCCGCTCAACGCAAGGCGGTGGTTGACGTTAACAACAAGTCCAGCAAAGCTTCTGGCGATGGCGGCGTGCGCGAACGGGGGGAAAACGACGAGGCGGCAGGAGCGGCGGCGGCGGCGGCCGCGACGACGCCGCCACTAGCAATCACGCCCCGGGAGGCGCCTAGCGCCAACCCCTCCGCCGCCGACTCGTTCAAGAACAAGGAGAAGATCCTTGTGCTCAGCAGCAGGGGCATTACCTTCAGGTTCGGTTCCGCTTCCCCGCCTTTCCCCACGTTATTCCATTTATAAAGGCCGTCGCTACACCTCGTAACAGTTGAAATGTTGTATCTGGTGCTGGATTAGATTTATTCGATCAGTCCACAATGCACCTGGTCCAAATCTCAGTCCAGATACCTGTCGAATGTTGAGAATGTAGCGATACCCATATACAGGGAAACCACCCCAGCTTTTACATTTACGACGTCATTGTCCTCTCCTCTTTTGTTGCCTTCTCTCTATAACCGGTTAAGTCCTATCTTGCTCCACTTGGCACTTAACCATGTTTCGGACCTTAGTTTTTCTTTCATTAGAATCATTACTGTATTACCCTTTTGTCTGCAGTTGCTTAAACCTTCTACCACCCCTCTCTAATCTGGTTAAGTCCTGCTTTGGCATACTCCTCCATCTCAGCTTCGTTTGACGTCTGTTTTTCCACACTCGTGTGTTTGTTAGTAGTATCCCTTTTGGTCCCAAGTTAACGAGGGAGTGAGTTCCTTGCCGCCGCAGTTTCGACGATTTTTTGAACCGAAATCGTCAGGACTAAGAAGAAGAGGATCGACTAAGTAGAATAGGATCGACAGTGATCAGAGAGGGCTAGATGGGTTTATCGGGTTTCCGCCAGTAGAATCTAAAGATCACGGTTCAAAAAACGCCGCAATTGCGGCCAGGAACGTCAAAGTATATTATTAGGTTTATCGATTTTTGAACCGGGCAGGTCTCGCAAGGACTAAGACGAAGAGGGTCGACAGTGATCAGAGAGGGCGAGATGGCTTTTTCTAAAGGTCGGCGGTCTTTTGTCATACTGCCTTTTTTTTTTTTTTTTTTTTTTTTTTTTTTTTTTTTTTTTTTTTTTTTTTTTTTTTTTTGCCCAACGTTTGGCAAAGGGTTCTTGAGAAACTTTCTCAGGCTGAGGAAGAAGAAGTTGATGAAGATGATGATGACAACGAATAAAAGGAAGCAGCAGCAGCAGCAGCAGAAGAAGAAGAAGACGAAGACGAAGAAGAAGAAGAAGAAGAAGAAGAAGAAGAAAAGACGGAGAAGTGGGAAGAATAACGAGGCGGGAGAAGAAGCAGAACAACGGGCGTAAGATAGCCATAACGGTAAATAGCAATAATGTGATAGTAGTAATCTGTAATAATAGAAATAGAAATGGTAGTAATAAGTTTTTTTAGCGAACGGAATATAAGGATAACAAGGAGCTTGAACAATTAGACACGCTTGCCGCCAAGTGCAGACATAGTCTTCTTCTTGTGTTTCAGGAGGTTAACACGAGAGGAGCTTGACGCATGCAATGGAGTTCCGTTCGCTGTATGTTGAAGGAAAAAAAAAAGTTCTCCATGTGGGGACCCAGCGCCGTGTGGCACATCCACTCGAGATGGAAAAAGCTATGGCGATTGATGGAGGAGGTAGGCTAGTCGAGTGGGAGTACAGTCGTTGATCAACGTGTCGGCAAATGGATGCCAAACGCAGCCGCTTTAGTATGCTGTGATGGGTCGGGGTGGAGGAGGGGCCGGCCAAAGCCTCTGTATAGTTACCGATTAAATCACATCGGGGATATTTGTCTTTTTGCGGAGCGAGGATAAGGCAAATGGGGACATAACGTGGCGCGCCTTTCATGATCGATCGTCATTACATCGTTGTCATATGATGATGATGATGAAGATCGAATGATGACTTGATGATGAGGATGATGATCGATGATTGATGACGAGGATGATGATCGATGATGATGATCGATGATTGATGATGAGGATGATGATCGATGATTGATGATGAGGATGATGATCGATGATTGATGATGAGGATGATGATCGATGATGATGATCGATCGATGATGATGATCGATGATGGGGTGCCTGATGATGACTGATGATGATGATGATTGATGCTTGATGCTTGATGAGGATTGATGACGATCGATGGTTGATGATGAGGATGATGATCGATGATGTGGTGACTGATGATGCCTGGTAATGATTGATGATTGGTGATGATTGGTGATGATTGATGATGATCGATGATGAATGATGATGATCATGATCGATGATGATTGATGATGACCATGATGATCGATAATAATGATAGATGATGATGATCCAATGATCAATGATGGTCGATGATGACGATGATCGATGATGATGATGATGATGATGATGATGATCGATGATGATTAGGGTCGATGATAATCAGTATCAGTACCATGAGAGGCGCGGGAAGATCTCATCATGGATGGTTTTGGTCGAATTTATTTCCTTGCCAGTGGCTTTAGGAATCATGCAGGACCTTTGCTCAGTCCATCAGTTCGGCAAGACCATCAGATTCTTCTCTCCACGAACACGTCCAGATTCAGTATCGTGTTGCCAAACTTGTTGAATTTCCATTGTTGCCGTTTTGATGATTCCCTGATGATCATCGTCTTCGTCATCTTTCTTCATCACCTACTTTCTCCTTCTTTGTTCTGCTCTTTGTTTGGTCTCTTCTTCTTCTTTTTCTTCTTCTTCTTCTTCTTCTTGTTTTTGTTCTTCTTTATTTATGCCGTTCCAGTCATGGTTTGGCTCGAACGCACAAACACACAGCTCATAACGTTGATATTGTTGGTTCAAATCCTGCTATACCCGTTAGGCAACACGGTTCTGAATCTGGACGTGTTTGTGGAGAGGAACAGAATCTGATGATCTTGCCGATCTGATGGAGTGAGCAACTGCCTTCGAAGCGTGCGCGCAAGATTTCCAACTAAGCCTAGCTGGCCACAGGGGGTGTACAGCTTAGTTGCTACAGCATTGGGCTTTTTTTTTTTTTTTTTTTTTAAACCTAATGGTCGCAGGTTCAAACCCTTCTATACCCGTTAGCTGGGTATGATGGAAGTGGTAGAGGGTGTCTTGCGATCAGGAGAAGCGCATTTTGCCATCATTCATCTATACCTTATCGCCTCCGCAGATTGGTGTATATGCAGTCGCAATGTATCATCATCCGTGTATGGAGAAAACAGAAAAGGTTGCATTGTTTATTTATTTAATTAATGACGAAGTTGCCTTTTTTTTTTTTTTTTTACTGACGAAGTGGAGTTACAAGCTCAGTTCATCCTCACCATGTCGTTTTCATATATCTATCCTAATTTAGTTATTTCAGGTTAAGGAAATCAGTCCCCGCCGATCTGCTGTCTTTTTTTTCTTTGGCCCCTTCTTCGGGCGGACTCACACTTTCACTATCTCAAATGCATCTGGCCGCATTTACGGCCGGACCTGGATGTATGTCACCGCAATTACGTCCAAAAATAAGTGAAAAAAGTCCTAGTGTGAGTATGCCCTTCTTCTAGGTTGGCGCCGCCGCCGCCGCCGCCTTAGTAGGCAGGCATCTCTTTCTTAACTTTAACGGCGGGAAATTAGTTCCCGCCCAATTTCCCGCCGAATTTCCGTAACGGCGGCAAACTGCATTGCGGATGCATTGGCCCTCTCTTTTATCCTTGGCAATGCTATTATTATCATCAATCATCATCATCATCATGTCATCATCAAGTATCAATCATCAATGAGCATTATCATCGTCAGTCATCATCATCATCATGTGTTATTAATCATCGTCGTCATCAATCATCATCATCATCAATCAATCATCGTTAATCATCATCATCATCACTATCAGTCATCGTCGTCATCATCATCATCAGAAAACAAATTGTCAGAAAAGAAATTGAAAACTTCTAAGATAATTGTGAAAATATCTTTGTGGCTGATTGAGAAAAAGGAACGAAGTGGAAACGAAGGAAAAGAGATTGAAAAAGAAAAGACGAATAGAGCTCACTGGGGTTGTCTAGATTCTATTCGCAGTTTGATGGTTGCTTAATTAATCGATTGTATAACTCGTCGATCGATTGATCGATCGATTGATCGATTGATTGATCGATTGATTTATCGATTGATTGATTTATCGATTGATTGATTGATTGATCCCTTGATTGGATGACTGGGTTGATTAATTAGATCAGTGATTGGGTGTGATTCTGATAATGCTTGGCGTGGTAGTGAAGTTTCTTTTTTTCTGTTTGTCGGGGACTCCATTCATGCAGTCCTCTTCCTTTCATTATCCCTCTGCTGAACCCAGCGCTGGATTTTTTTAATTTTTATGTGCCTTTGTTTTTTTTTCTTCGGTGCAGATTCAGGCATTTGATGGAAGACGCTATCCAATTGTTGCCGCACGCGAAGAAGGACTCGAAGCTAGATAACCGCGACAAGCGTGTGGCTCTGAACGAGTTGGCAGATCTCAAAGATTGCACCAGCATTTTGTTTTTCGAGGTACGTACGTTTTTCAAGGGGAAAACAAATGGGTGAATGGATGGGTGGATGAAGGGATGGACAGAGGGGAGGGAGAAGAGAGGGAGGAAGGGAATGAGGTAGGTAGGGAGTGAGTGAGTGAGGGAGGGAGAGGGAGATGGAATGTCTTCAAACTGAAGTAGCAAATCGCTTGTCAAGTTTCAATAGGTATTCTTCATGGACCCTCACATGGATGTATGGATGGATGAATGGGTGAACGCATTAATTGGAAGAATGGTTGAATGGATGGAGAGAGGGAGAGAGGGAAGTAGGTAGGTAGGTAGGTAGGTAGGGAGGGAGGGAGGGAGGGAAGGGCGGGGCAGCGATTTATGGAGTTTGTGTACACTGACGTAGCAAATCGCTTGTCAAATTTCAAAAGRTCGTTTCCGTGGACCTACACATGGATGGATGGATGCATGGATGCATAAATGGATGGAGTCTCCTGCCGATGGAGGAGGATTTTGATCTTAAGGGTGAGATCCGAAAACTCTATATGGATCTTATACCGGTAGTAGGATCGTTTTGCAGTGTGTAGCTTGTACAGGTAGTCGGATCGTTTTGCAGTGTAGATGATGTCAACAAAATTATATTATAGAGGCAATCAAATCAATGGGCCAATCAAATCAATGCATTGAACCAAGTGGGTGCTAAAAATAGGAAGGGCGAATGGAGAGAGGAGATGTACACCAGACGACTTTTGTTCGTCGGTTCCCAACTGGGATGATCTTTCGCGGGCTCTCTTTGTTTCCAGGGATGATGGAGCTGCTGCCACCGCTTCCCGACGAAAGAAAATGCATGGGCGTTGGCGTGTGCCGTCTTGTGCATTTTGTCCTCCGAAGAAAACATTTTGGAAACCGCACCACTAACTGAATGTGGAAAAGACAAAAATATAACCGGTATACATTTCCAACGTTCTAGTGGGAAGATTCATGCTCGTTTTGCACGTTTGGTAAGTGATGCGGGGAGGCCATTGTTTCTTGTCGTATTGGCAATTGTAAGGAAGAAGATTAAGAATGAATTAAGTTTTTCTTGTTTTCCTTGTTTTCTCTCGATTTTTCCTTCGGCGCTCTGATGTCATGTGACAAAAAAAAAAAGAAAAAAAGAAACCGAGTAAAAAGATAAAAAAAGAAACCAAGGAAGGAAAAACACAAAAAAAGAAACCTGAGAAAAAAGAATAAAGAAAAAAGAAAAAAGAAAAATATGTTCTGTGGGATGGTAATTGGATTATCTGTGGGATGTGTCACTTGCTTCGTCTGTTTAATAGGCTTTCTTCTTCTGTGAGGTTTGGTTTCCTCCGCCTTTTCTTTACCTCTTTGCCTTTTGCTTCGTCTGTTTAATAGGCTTTCTTCTTCTGTGAGGTTTGGTTTCCTCCGCCTTTTCTTTACCTCTTTGCCTTTTGGCTGCGTGCAAGTGGGTCTTTATGACACACGGGGATGGGGGCAGCCAGCGCTCAACCTGTCATCCACGTGGCTGGCCTTGTACGTAAGAGGTGACGAACAGGTGGGGCTTTCCTTCCTTCTTTTTCTTTTTCTTGTTTTGTCTTTTTCCGCCTTTGCGCTCTGATTTCCAGTGTGACAATATATATACCGGGCAGCTCTGTTTGACGATATATATAGGGTTCAGCCTCCTCATGAGTAGGTAGGTGGAACTCCGACGAAGCAGTTTGTCACAGCCCCTCGTTTCTTGTCCTCTTCTCTTCTCCCGCTCTGCCTACGCTTTACCGTAGGCAGTTCTGTTTGACAATATATATCGTCAAACAGAGCTGCCCGGTAAACCGCAGGCTGAGAGGGAGAAGAGAAGAGGACAAGAAACGATGATGGGGTGTGACAAACTGTTTCGTCGGAGAATGTATATATACGATATATATATACGATATATATATACGATATATATATAAAAAGAGAAAAAAAGAAAAAAAGAAAAAAGATACGTTGATCTGTGGGATGTGTTATTTGCTTTGTGATAATTGGATTATCTTTCTTTCCCTATCTTTTTTTCCCTGTCAGGTTTGGTTTCCTCCTCCCCTTCTTTACCTCTTTGCCTTTTGGCTGCGTGCAAGTGGGTCCTTGTGACACACGGGGATGGGGGCAGCGAGCGCTCAACCTGTCATCCACGTGGCTGGCCTTGTACGTAAGAGGTTATGAACAGGTGGAG